TTTTACGTTTATTATATGCCCTTTGGCTTGATAACCTTTTTTCTCTTGCCTCACTACTTTCACCTACTTGTTTATGTTTAGCATACTTTTGTTTTTTTGACATTTCATCATTTGTTGCAGGGTTGTTTAACCCGGGGTTTCCCCTTCTTACATGTTCACTATGAAGTGAGCACATTGAAGTAAACTGAACACCTTTGACCTCAAATGGTGTAACACCTCCAGGTGAAAGAGTCTGAAAATATACAACTAGATCTTGAATATTGTTAATTGTGATTAAAATACATTTTCCAAATTCATTAGGAACACCAAACAAATTTCTAGCATGAGAATCAAAGATTCTAAAAGACCCATCTGCAACTTTCAATATTGCCACAGTATTGCAACCAATAGTAAGCAGGGCAAAACTGTATGTTAGCTCAGAAAATAGGAATATGTTATTTAATGCACTTAGAAGTGTGAAATATGGTCGACTATTGCATGCCATGAATACATCACCAGCATATGACTCACTGTATTGTAAATTATAGATTATGTCATTAACAGAAACCATTTCAGGCACATCAGTCAATAGCAACAAGTCTTTATTCACTGAATTGGATATACATGTATAAAGGTCATTGCCATTAATTAAAATTGTGTTTAATAATTCTGTATCCCAGGTTGTAACATCTTGTATTTGGCTGAAGATTATTGCAGTCAAGGACATAGCAACACATTGCTTTCCTGCATTTTGTCCAAATCTGACTTCACAACCTTGGCTAAAATCAGCACACACAGTTTTTGTTGCATCAACAATGTCATATACTGTAGGTCCTGGGTTTGTTTCCACATCATTTGACAATCTTAGTAAACCAGGCACATACACTTGGTGATAACAGACCATTTTGATAAACCAAATTACTGGTTCATTTGATCTACTGTATTGTTCATTTATTTGCTTTAATGTTGGGAAGTAAAATACATTTAAATAAAACATCATCAACATTGTGTTCCAGAAAGTACCTGTCAGACGTCTGGACACTTCTCTTTGTCTCACAAAGTTTGCATGAGAACCAACTCTTGCTCGATATTGTTCAATTGACACTCCCATGTCTAGTATGATGTCACGTGACTGTCAGTAGTTTTGTGCAGACTGTCTTTTGTTTGATTTGTTATCCAGTTTCAGATGAATATTTTTGTATACTTTTTGGCAATTTTGTAGCAAGTTTTTAGCAAGTTTTTAGCAAGTTTTTAGCAAGTTTTTAGCAATTTTTTTGCGGACACAAGGTCCCAGTTTATGGCTTTTTCGATTGCGATACAACACGCAATTGCCTGACAAACGAGTCAGTGCAGACACAAGGCCCCGTTTAGTTTATAGATTTTTCGATTGCGATACAACACGCAATTGCCTGACAAACGAGTCAGTGCAGACACAAGGCCCCAGTGAGTTTGTTGCTGCGATGACTCGACGAGAATCGCACTAAAAGACAAAACAAAAAGCGTGCTTAACAAACTGCATGTCACCTCGTCGACTTTGAGACAAGCCTCGGCCCTCAAGGTCAACACATTTATAGATAAATACAGCTAAGCCTAAGGTGAAACTGGTTAGCGTACCTTGAATGAGATGAAGTAGGGCGACGTTTACCAGCAAAAAACGGCCAAATCAAATCGAATTTTGCGAACTTGTCTTTGGCAGTTTGCTCAGAACTTGTCGACAAAATTAGCAGATCAGATCGTACCGGAAATTGCGGTCATCACGTGAGCATATGACGTTTTTAGGGCGCCTGCGGTTCCCCCATCCGTTTCGCGCATGCTCAGATATTTTGCATTTATAATTTGCCATAAACCCCGTCTAGCCTCTGCGTGATGACTAAGCGTTCCGCAGTCCTTATGGACAGCGGACGCAAAAATGTAAAATATCACCTCTATGTATACGATGGCCGTCCATGTCGATATATATCGGTCTTTGCGCCAGTCTTTAGTCTTAGAGCCAAACAGTGACTGACTATCCGATCGATTACTTGCCGTCATATTGTACTGCGATCGACATTTCCTTTTTAAGTTATTAGCATTGTCGTCTTATTTATTTCAAACTTCAGCGTTGGTATTGCGTATAAGACTGTCTAAACTTTATCCTCTGACGCGATAAAAGAATTAGAGTATATTAATCATGGTTTATCCAGAAAACTGATGTTTACATATGTTGTCTGTTACTTTAGAACTGATAGCTGTTTAAAATGTTAAAAACGATTGTTTTTATCACCGCTAGACACCAACTTTAGACGTATGTATAGGGCAATGATTACCATTGTGAAGGTAGCCGCAGATTGAACCTCAGATTAACTTTCGAAAAAACCCCAATGAGCCACGTAATAATCTAATTCAATCAATCAGAAATGGGGTAGTTGCTTTAAGTGACCCCTTTTGAAGTGTATCATGATTCCTAATTTTACTAGCTCTATAGCCTAACATATCCAACCATAGCCCTTCATAGCACTCCATAGGCCTTCACAGGCCTCCAGGCCTCGATAGGCCTCCTCCATAGCTCTCCACGGGCCTCCATAACCCTCCATAGCTCATCACAGGCCTCCATAGGTGTCTATAGGTCTCCATAGGCCTCCATAGGTTTCCAAGGGCCTCCATAGGTTTCCAAGGGCCTCCATAGACCTCCATAACCCTCCATAGGCCTTCATGACACACTATAACACTCCAAAGGCCTTCATAACACTTCGTAGGTCTCAATTGCCACCCACAGGCCTCATTAGGGCTCCTTAACTTTCCGTAATATAAATCTCGATATGACCATTGCTTTTCCAGCACTGACTGATAGGTCAAAATTCACTGTCTCACTATACCTTTGGTATTATATTTTCAAATAAGAAATTTGAAGTAACTTAAAATTTTTATGAAATTGTGTTAATTATTATTTGTAATCACCTCGAAATTTATACTAATTCTGAAATAGACCTCACACCTCAGTTTTGATAAATTTTCATGCGTGGGTAATTTCTTATACCAAACTCCAAACTCTGACAATAATACATGCTCTGACAAGAATAACTACAGTAATTTCTATTTATTCTGAAGTCAAACACAGTATATCTCGACAGTCAGAAATCTTCTGTGGACATGAGAAGATTTAGTTTTTTTCATATTTTGTCATGTCAAACATTTGCCTCTCATTTTTTAAATTGTTTAATATGGCCACGTCTATGTCCATCTTGCTGGTGACTTTGTATTTTCTTTTCGGCAAAATAGTAAGACAAGATATGAAAGTAGAATGAGCCCGCTAAACAAAAAAGGAATAGAGAGTAACATGTTTCACCAAAAAATGGGACAATCAACAGCCTACTGTCTTAGAGCGAACTTTAGATTCTAGTGCATATCAGAAGGGGTGATATTCATGAAAAGCTATGGAGGCCTAGGGAGTGCTATGGAGGTCTATGGTAGTATAGAGTGCTATAGATGCCTTTGGAGGCCTATGGAGTGTTATGGAGGCCTATAGAGTGCTATAGATGCCTATGGATGGCTATGCAGCCCTATGGAGGGTTATGGAGGCCTGTGGGTGGCAATTGAAAGAATATTCAGAGGCGCTAAAATGCCAAATTTTGTTAGCATGCTCCAGGATTGGTGTCATGCACGAAATATAGATAGATATGGTGTTATGCAAATATATATCTGTCTTCGCTCTTTTTAATAGTAAACGTAGCATTTAGAGGCATCTCGATGATCTACATGAAATCATCTAAATATTTCCACCGACTTTTCCAATCCTTTGGCAGATCGTTAATCGTAATCAGAGATAAAATGTGGCCTTCGACGCCAACATTAACCTGTTTGTAACAGGAGGTGGAACTTCATGCAATTTTCACTCTTTGCTTTCTTCGGTCCGATAATGTCTTACCCACTCACGAAGCATAAAAAACTAGGGAGATTTGTGATGAAAGCTCCATTGGAAAATCCTTAAGAACCTGCGTAGGCAAATTATCTGGACCCGATCCCTTGTTGCGTTTATGTTTAGATAGTTGTTTATGACTTCCTTAGGTGGGTATCCAATATTTCAAGGCGTTTTTTTAGCCCAAATCGTCGTTCGGTCCTATAGAGAAAGGCACCAGATATGGGAGGCTATTATTAATAGACAAAAAGTAATCGTTAATTCTGGTGGCAAGCTCTGTAGGATTAATTTCTATATTAAGTTCAATTAAACACTCAAAGAGGTTTTTTGTAGAACCACTAGTGACTTGCAGGAGGTTGCATCATCATAGGTCTTTACTTTACTTAAAAAATTAACTTCGAAGACGATTATTAAATCGGTTGCCTGGATTGAGGCTCTTATCTCTGAGGTAATCCAAGATTTGTCATTCATGATGTTTACTTTTCTGATTATCTTTACTTTCTATTGTTATATACAGGTCTATTACATAATTCAGTACAATCACGTAGTTTATCAGAGCACGAGGAAAAGGCTCCAAGAAATGAAAGATTAGTTGATGCTAACCCCCTTCCAAACCCCACTTGTTTCCATGATCTTCCCGTCAATCACACTAGATTAGATTAGATTAGATTAGATTAGATTAGATTAGATTAGATTAGATTAGGGTCTTCTACAGATTACAAGAGTTTTAGGTTACTATAGTATTTACTTAATGGCTCGTAAGATCTTGTAGCGACATTTGTGAACCGATCTACAATCCCAACGCATCTAACCATACATCCAACTATAGAACAAATATTTTTTAAAATACACTGAAAATCTACCCTGCTAAACAAAGCGTACTAGTTTTGACATATTCGTATTTTGTGCTACTTTGAGCATGTCGTACGTAATATTAGCATTGAAATTACCGTTTGATTCGGGGTTATGTTTAACCTGGAACTTTAGATTTTGACAGGAAAAAAGTCAAAATCCTGTTATGTTGGGGGCAGACATCTGGTTGTCTAGCAGTTCATCCCTAGTTTTGAGGTTTTGCATAGGGAGTTAAGACAGAATGATTTCTTAACGGCTTATGCTTAACTTTTAGAACACTGATGGCAACTTCAATTTCTAATGTATCCGATGGAGAGAGAAGATGGGTAGTTGTGGGTATTTGTCTATCCAAGGTTCTTGCACCTGCCTTAAGAAACGTTCTTGCAACTGAATTGCAGAAGTGGTATAATCAGTTGTGTCAGCCACCTGATGAAATTGACAAGCAAGTTTATCCTAGAGAGAAGAAAAACCTACCACCTTCAAAACTTGCGTTACAATACAAGAACATCAACAACAATCATGTTCACAAATCGCCCAGTCGCTACGACTATAAAGTTAACGACGCTTTGTCTTTGGCAAAGTTGTTTGTGAAACCATTTATGGCAATGTTTACTGGTTTTGATGATACAATGGATATGTCTGCAATTCTGGCTGTGATGTGTGAAGCAAAACCATTCACCCTGTCTGGTGCAGCAGCTGATGCAAAGAAGATAAGGTCTGATATACGAAACAAGTGGGCTCATTGTAACTTCTCTGATTGGACCAAAGCCATGTTCAATGCTGCAATTCACGACATGGAGAGTTTGTTAAAAAAGATGAATATGTCAGTCGCTGATGAAAAAAGCTTGTGCGATGATCTAAAAAACTGGCAGCACAAAGGTTTGTTAATAATATTGTATTTAAAACATGGTTGGCGGTATTCACGTTGTATAGTAACATTCCAAATACCTAAGATGAAGCGTGTTTAATTTACTAATCAAAATAGCGAAAGAGAATAATACTGTATTTATAGACCAGCTTTAGGCTTTGAATCGAGATTCACCAACAAAACATTTGTTTTGGATGGTGAGAAATTGTTTCAGTTGCTTCCGAAATTGTTTCAGCTGTTTCAGCTGCTTCTGATATAAGCATGCCTATAGGAAACTATTACGACTGCTAAGAAAATTAAGATGGTAGACATAGCTTACCTTACGAAACAAATATCCATGTTAAACTTTACAAATATCAAAGAAACATAAAACTTGTATAACGTTTAATGCAGTGAGATAATATTACAAACAAAATGTGAAAACGAAAGTAAAATTACAAACAAATGTCAGGCATTCACTAGTTTCTCCCTCAATTTCTCCTCGTTCTACTGAGAAGGATGATGATTACATCATTGACAGTGATTGTGAAAAAATTTCAGGCTTGGCGTTGTGTTTTGGACAGTCTGTTGATTCTGAACTTTTAAAATTGGTTACAAATGAAGTTTGTGAACTTCGTGGTTCTGTTAAAACATGGAAGTTTGAAAGTGATACGCAGGTTTGTGAATTTTGAATTAAAATAAAACTGAGATTGTATGCGTTTTTTTATTCCTAGCCTACATGCGTTCATCACATAACATAACATGCACTACCGCAATTCATTTTGAATAGAAGATTGTAAGCTGCATATCCCCCCAAATTTCTCAACATTTTTTTCCAGGTAAATTAGCTTGTAGGTACACCACGTCAGTATTTAATACTGCAAAGCTTTCGGTCCGCTTATCCGGGTTGTAGCTCCACATGGACTTATGATCATTGCATTAAATGGAAATTGATGCAACCATTTTAGCGAATGTAAAGTATACCGTCTCTCGTAAAATGAGAGAATCTATTTAAATATATAAACATCAAACTATCGCCCAAGAGGGAAAGCCACTCAATAGTACGTGGCGTGCTCTTTTCTGTCACAGAGGAGAGATGGACAGAGAGTCGACTCTTCCGATTTAATGTTGAAACGAGTGTTCCCGAGTTTTGCCTAATATCACGTCATTCTCACGTCATTTCCACGCGTCACGCAACCACCCGATTCTCTTCTGGTAAGCTCTTTCGGCCAAATTTCAATACAAAAGTATAGAAAAAACGCTGTTCGATAGGTGAAAAATTGATTTTTTTTGAACTGGGTCGGATTATCTTCATTTTGGACTAAAATTTTGGAGATGAACGGCGAGTTGTTTGTTTTTTTGGCTTTAAATGATCGTGCTGTTTTTAAAAGCAATATAAAAATCCTTGTTTTGTAAGTGAGTTCTGATTACCCTTGTCGGCTGCCATATTTTTACCCGAATTGTCAAATTGTGTTTGCCAAAGTGAATCGTTGTCAGAGCTGCTTTTTTACTGTTTGTCAACTAGCAGCAGAGTGTTTGCATATTTGTGGGATAACAATATAGGACGAATTTCAAAGAAAACTGCTAAATTCGCGTTTGAATTTTAGAATATCGACAAAATACATTACAAAACATTACAAAACAAAAAAGAGTTTTAGGCGTTATATAATTTTACCTCGCAGAGGATATCAGTTTTTTAACAATTAGTACCATTTGATGATACAAACATTCAATGAAAACATTGATAATTATGTATGTTTACTTCCCAAGCAGAGATGCTGTTCGATTGCACACTTTTTCAGTCATTTTTCAAACTTTTTAATCAAATTTTCACCCAGCATATTATCCCTGGGCTTTCTAAAGAAAATATATTTTAGCTCTTACCTTACACTACAAAAAACGTTTGAAACATTTCAGGCAAAGCGGTTAAATTTTTTTAAATTGCATTTTTTCTGGCAAAAATTCCGTTTTTCCTTATTAAAAATGTGCTCGGAGCTTACCAGAAGGGAATTGGGTGTAAACGCTAATCGGGACGCGTGGAGCCGCTTGTCGACTCTCTGTCCATCTCTCCTCTGTGTTTCTGTGTTCGCTAGCTAGATACTTGTCTAGAGCGCGCGCATTAATTATCATAATTGTTTCGTCAGTGAAACCGTTTAATTAATGGCGCAAGCTAACAAATCACGACGAACGTGATATTTAAGTGACGTGTAGATGTGTATTCAGCTTATTGCCGTATTACACTGAAGAAGGCCCGGGTTAGCGGACCGAAAGCTTTGCAGTATTAAATACTTACGTGGTGTACCTACAAGCTAATTTACTTATTGATGTCATCATGCAAACATACAAGAATATTATTTTTTTCTCTTTCTATCGAAGCATTGGCTAGTTATTTCCTTGTTCCTTAAGATAGGCTATACAAGTTTTATCAATCGGTGCATGTAATCGTAATTCTGAAGATCCACAAAGTATTGCATAAAAACTTTGCAAACGTGACAGTGACAGTGGTGGCGTACTTTTTTAGATTGATGAGTTGTCCGACAATCTTGGGAAAATATATTCTAGCATGAATGAAGAGTTACGAGAGCTGACCAGGAGAATTGAAAGATGCGAGAAGTTGGAATCAGAAAACTCAAAAATGCTTAGCCTACTTGACAACAAGTTTAGCAAAGAACTCTCGCAATTTTCCAGCAAACAAGATGAAGAGATTCCTTACGTTTTTGATGCTCCCAATAGAAACAAGTATTTCTCTGGTCGAACTGAAGAGCTTGAAGATCTTCAACGTATTCTAAAGCAACACGATACTGAGCTGGCAAAAAAAGCTTGTGTAGCTGCAGTCTGTGGTATGGGAGGCATTGGAAAAACAAGTCTTGTAACTGAGTATGCTCACCAAATGAAGAATTATTACCAAGGTGGTGTGTATTGGTTCTCAGCAGAAGATGAAATGTTCTTTGAGCAGTCGGTGAATAACACTGCTTTGAAACTTGGTGCTTCACTTGGGAATTTCGAGTTGACGTTGACAAATACACTTATAAGGATTAGCAAGACAAATAAACCATGTTTAATCGTCTTGGATTGCCTGGATCAACTGAATATCTCCCGCAATGTACTAAAATTCCTTTCCATCGTGTGTAGACATAGTGCCTCAGCAGCTGTTGTTTTGATGACCAGGAGAAACAAAAGTGTGCTGGTTGAAGAAGTTTCAAGTCTACACGAAGATCGCTGTTTTACTCTGAAATGTCCGAATGTCGATGAATCAAAGCAGTTCTTATTTCTTAGGACTGGGTTGACTAATGACCAAAACGCAAACAGTATCGCTGAAAGTCTCGTTGAGGAGCTTGGAAGACTACCATTAGCTCTAGAACAAGCAGGTGCTTGTATCAAAGCGCTCAGTTGCAGTTTGTTCGAGTACCACGAGCAGTACAAGACAGAACGCTTAAAGTTGTTAGAAATACAAAAAGCCAAGCCAGCATCATTCTATGAATCATCGGAACGCCTGGCTATTCACACGACCTGGTTGTTAAATATCAAGCACATCAGAGAAAGCTCTAATGGGGCTCATGCGATCCGACTTATGAATGCCTTCGCATTTTTTAATGCAAATGAGATCGAGCCAGAGTTGGTGAACATCGGTGAGCGCCCGATTGAAGACAAAGAATTTCATGATTGTATGAACTCGCCTCTCGGTTGTCGTCAAGTTGTTAAACTGTTGACTGATTTCTCACTTTTCACATACGTCAATACGCGCTCTATCACTGTCCATCGCTTAGTGCAGGAATTAGTCAGAGAAAATCTTGATCCTAGCGAGATGAAAGTTGGGAGTTTTGTTGATGCTGTTCAATTGCTCTCTTATGCCTTCTTAAAATGCTCATCTCCAAAAAATCTTTCAAGCAATGCTGCTCCTGAAGAACGCCTGAAAACTAATTTTTCTAACAACCCTTGTCATTATTACTTGTGGTCTAAACTTTGTTTTCACGGCTTTCATCTTCAACAGCATACAGAAAAATTGCTTCAAAATCTTGATCTCAAATGTTTAAAATTCCTCTTTGTTCTCGAAACAAGCAAAATTTTTTATGAATGTGCTATCCACCTGAGTGCTAACATGAGACAGGAAGAAGCAAAACGTTTTCTTAATTTTTCTTATCGAATACTAGATTGGATTCCTTCTTCCGAGTATGACATGTTGCAGACGGGTTTATCGGATAGTTCTTTATTCCCTCTTGATATTCCTTTACAAAAGTGGGTTCAAATATCGATAAGAAAAAGTTGCGCACCCTACATGATTTCCCCTGAACCTCTTGATGAAAAGCCTGATATGGTAAATAAGGTTTCAGGATCTATTCAGTTGAAGGATAACGTTGAAAAGCTTAGGTTGCAGGGAAATGAGAGTTTTAAAGACGGTCAATTTCAACGAGCAGTCGATGCTTATTCTTCTGCCATTGACATCAGCAGAGGAACAAATTACTTTAACCCATTAATGCTTACTAACCGTGCTTCGGCTTACATTAAGCTCAACAAGCTTGATAATGCCTTGAAGGATGCTAATGAATACATTGCTCGATTTCCTGATTGCTGGAAGGGTTATGCTAGAAAGGCGTTAGCTCTTACTGAGAAAGTCAGCGCTGAAATAGCAGCTGCTATCGCCTATTATAATTTTTACCTAAAAAATGGTAGATGTTTATTTTCAGAATATCAGCCATTCAGAAACGTTTTCTCTGACTTAAAGCAACGTATTTACATTTGTAATACTGTATCACAGTTGTTGGACGCATTGTCCGATACTTGCCGCTCTCAGCAAATTATAATCCTTGCATCGAAAGAGTATTTAATTACATCTCCAGGGATAGTCGTACATGTTGTGAAAAACTGTATCATTGTTGGTGCAAATCCTTCTGTTACCGTGAAACTAGAGAAGAATGCTTCGTGGAACATTTTAGGAAAATGTATGCTAACTAATCTTTCGTTAATTTTTGCTTTTAGAAAAAGTCAACTCTTCACTTTTTCTGGTTCTTGGACGAAAATAGTCAATTGCCATTTTTCGTCCAAAAGTGATTTATCACCTGCTGTCGGAAGTAGGGGTGCATTTCATGCAGAGCTGTGTAAGTTCACTAACTGTAACGCTTGTGGGTTGCTTTGCGTGGGACCAGGCAATATGGTAGTTGATAACTGCACATTTTCAAATAATGGGAAAGCTGGATTAGAAGTGCGTGAAAATGGTATGTTGATAGTGAGAAATAGTCGTATGTATCACAACAGTCTACATGGATTGCTAATAGGACCTAACGCGGCAAAGTGTGGAGCATTTAACTGTCAAATTTATCGCAATGCTTACGAAGGTATTGCAGTCCTGGATGCTTCCAAGTGCGTCACTCTCGTAAGAAATCAAGTTTTTGAAAACGACAGCGGTGGTGTATTTGTAAGAAACTCGGACGTTGATATGAGAGAGAACAAGTTCTTTGATAACGAATCTTGGGGTATTTGGTCGCAAACTAATTCTTGGTGCCACCTGTCTATGAATGAGATCTTCCGTAACAAACGTGGTGGAGTTCGTGTTGGAAAGAGGCTAAGTGGAAAAGAATTTCCTTGTTCTGTAGTTAAATTGAACAAAGTGTATAATAACCTTGGCCCTGGTATTGTTGACACTATTAATGACTTAGACAGCCGTCTTGATGGAAGCGATACAGACGTATCTAAAACGCACGACGCTTACAAATCTGCAAAATATGATGAGAATGTGGAATATAATAACGAAGAAAGAATTATTTCCAACAAACCAAAATTGTCTCCATTATGGTGTTCTGGGTGCTTCGGAAAATGCGAAAGTTTGAAACTCTGCGGGAAGTGTTTCACTGCAGGTTATTGCAATGCGGATTGCCAAAAATGTCACTGGTCAAAACACAAAAAATTGTGCCCAGTTTTAAGAGAGAAATCTAGCTTCTTGATCACTTCTATGAAGAGATTTGGTTTTGACGGGTTTGTTAATGTTCATGCGAAAGATCTTGCAGAAGTTGGTCCAAACTCTAGTCCTCCTCCACCACGAGATGGTAAAAGATTCATTGTTAAATTACAAACAAATTGTGATGCCGTGGTATTTGGTGAACGGCACATGCTTGTGATTTATGACCGCAGTCTTCATTTGCACGAAAGCATTCAAACTGAATTCATTGACCGTCATGTGAATGAGTTTGGCGTCCTTTGCGAAAGAAAATATCGAGAGAAAAAACTGTTTCTTCACTGCTTATTCGAAAAGAATGGAAAGCCTCGGTTGTTTATCAATCAATTTGCCGACTTTCAGATTTGGTAAGAAATAATGTGACTGTGCAAACATTATTCGTGAATGGGCTCCATTTCAAAATGAACAATTATTCGCTGTAGTCGTGATAAATATGGGTGATATAAAAATCTCGTGATTTAATATAACTATTTTAGCAAAATTACGTAATTTTGCTATCGATGTTTTATGCGAAATAACTAACGTTAAAACAAAATTAAACAACGGTAAAAAGTTGGGGGTTTTCGCATAGCTAATTTTAAGAATTTTTTATCACTGCACATATCATCACAATAGCGTAGTGGAGAGAGGGGACATGATAAAAATGGTCCTAAATGGAAATTGGTGATTTGAAGATGGGGAAATTGTATGGGGTCTGCAGGACCTCATGCAGAAAATTTTCTGTATTTTTGAGTCCCTATGACTTCATTTCCAGCATTTTGGGGGACAATTACTTATGAATCCACCTTGGCAGAGTGAGGTCTGTTGGGGAATCGCCATTAATCACTGCACATTTCTCATTTTATTACTGCACATTCTACTTTCATCACTGCACAAATTGGTTATCACTGCACACTAAAATTAGGTATGGGTTTTCGTTTAAGCGAAGCTTTTCTTAACGCCAGTATTTTCATAAAAACTGATTTCTTATTTGTCATCAGTTACTTTAACGAAACAACTCGCCGACATTTTGAAAATCTCGCTAACTATAATTATGTGGTATACGTAGGTTATCGGTGATTATCGTTTAATAATCGTAGGTCGCTTCATTGATACTGATTTATAACGTATAAAAGGTATTCAAGTTATTTTCAATAAACATATGATCCCTGAAATAAGTTCTAAGGGAAGGTTTAAATTTATTATAAACTAATGAAAGTTTATTAAAAAGTCGACAATATGCGTGTAAATGATTGTCTTTTGCATAAATTCGATTATATTTTACAGCAGCGGGCGGAATCCTTGCCTTTTCTGTAATCTGATTTGCGGGCGGAATCCTTGCCTTTTCTGTAATCTGATTTGGCTTTAGCAGCGGGCGGAATTTTACGATATCTGACCACGGTCCGGAATCTATATTTTTTATACTCGAGCGATGCGCTTGTTTTGTTTTGTTAATGTTTAATTTTGAATAATGGAGTGGGACGATCATCTGTGGGGACGATGAATACCATAGCCCTGGGTACGAGGTTGATGACGAAAAGTGATTTTTTTATCCGGAAGAGCTGGAAAATGTTGCAGAAAACATAAATACGAACGTTGTCGAATCTGACTGCATAACTTAATAAGACTGCTCCTTACGATAAACTGAAAATAAGTACTGATTATTTAAGCCTGTTTTTCCATTAGGCGAATTTATTTGCGCGAACAGATAAAAAATAAAGTAGGAAGCGATTCCACTTTTTCGCGGCGAATTTCTCGCAAACCAATAACATCACTGGATTTCAAATATCGCGTCGCGTCGCGCGAATAAATTCGCCTAGTGGAAAACGGGCTTTAGTCGGCCCGAATAGAAAAATATTTTCCGGCGTTCTCCAAAGGAATTTTCACATTCTTCAGAGGAAATAATCACATGGAAAATGAATATGTGGGACGCAGATTTGAGCAGTGTCGTTATGCCAGGTTTCATGCATTTATGCGCAAGTCCTGATTCAGGGACGCACCGTCCAGAAAATTTTGTACATTTCGGCACCGACTTGTGCTTGTATCAGTTGTATGTGATTAGAAAAGGCGTATATTCTCAAATCAGTATTATACTTCAGAATTACCTTGTCCAATCACACTTGTCGAACCTGTTTTATACCACATGACCATGGAATTCGTGAGTGAATACCAAGCCCCGGACTGCTCGTACCCTGGGTGCTTTCTGTAGTGTATGACCCAGCATGCATCGGGGGTCAAACAGGGACGGACACGTGGTTGACGTTTAGCCTAAAAGGAGTATCCTAATGGCTGAAGTTTAGTTGTATCGTTGACAAAAATTAAATCGAAAACACTACACTTTCCCCGGGGGTGGTATTCACTCGAATACCACGCTTGAGCGGGATATTTGACTTTTGAGTACCTCGCTCGTTCCACTCCGGAATATGGGCGGAATCCACACGTCACTTTTACGACCCTTTGTACTCTATGTTTCGTTATTCCACAAGCTCAGAATATTTTTTCGGTAAAATATATCGAAGTCCTCTGGAAATATCATCACTTCGGGAAATATTTCGCCGAATCCCCCTGAATTATAAACGTAAGCTTAAACGGCCCCCGAAATTTTCCAGGAGAATTTTTGAAATTTAGTCCCTCCAAATGTTGACACATTTTGGGCAGCAATAACTGAGTTCCCTAAGTTCCCTATTTTGGCGACTAAATTTGCCTGGGTTGGTGTCTTGGTGAAGCAGTGAAAGCGCCCTTGGCACAGTCTGGTAGTTACAATATATATATGAAATTCAGAGGCATAGAATTTTTCCCAAGAAGGTTGGCAAACAATCTTGAGAACTACACTCAAGAGGCGCAGATCGAGCGAGAACAATCAGAACATTTTTGAGATTTGATTGAAAATACCCCTCAGTTCTCAATAGTCGTTAAGATGGGCAAAACCCGACATGATAAGGTTTTCAAAACTCACCAAAAATTGTACAATCATGTACATTAATTTCAGGTTTTCACATTAATTTTACAGGGACACAAAGTGTGTGACAAGGACAAGCTATTTTAATGCCTGAGACTTGCTTGTAACTGGACCTGGAGGTGGAACCTCCAATTTTCACTCTTTGTTTTCTGCCAGTCAGAAAATATCTTACGCACTGGATTTTATTCTCGACTCTCGACTTTTATTCTCGACTTTTAAAAAACAAAAACAAAACGAAACCGAGGCGAATTTTCAACTCCGTCGCTGACGCCGGAGTAATAAACATAATATATTCCGTAAAGATATCCTTTGTGTGCGAAAATTGGGATTTTTAAGACTCTCGACTCCCGACATAAACCACTGATTATATAGGTCAGTGTCTACAAAAACTCAATATAAAAGTGGGCGTGTTCAAGGTATAGAATTACGTCATTTCCGGCAGTAATGTTAATCTTATCACTCACCCGACTTTTATTCTTCAATCTCGACTTTTACTCTCGACTTTCTACTCTAGACTCTCGTCTTTTATTCTTGACTGTCGACTTTTACTCTCGACTTTTATTCTTGACTCTCGACTTTTACTCTCGCCTCCGCCTCGCCCCAGATACTATAGCGAGTTTAAGATGCACCAAATCTACGACGCGGACGTGAAACAAAACTGCTCTAATTTCCACAGTTTCCCAACAGGAATGAAAATTATAGACGCCTTTTTATAAACGAGGTCAAAGCCGTATGTAAAACAAATTAGTACTGGTTTCCTAACACTACAGCAGATTTCATATCACGTCCGCGTCGTAGATTCGGTGCAACTAAACTCAATCATGCAGTATAAAAGTGGGCGTGTTTAAGGTACGAAATGACGTCATTTCCGGCAGTAATGTTTATCAATTATCAGTGTTGTTATTTTGAACGTGCGACACGTTTAATCGAGGTCGTGATATTATTACCGTCGATATTTTGAGGATTTTCATGGCGAAACAAAAGTCTATCGATGATGAGGTCGAAGGAGAAACATCGCTTCAATATACTTTAGAGGAAGATGACTCACATTTGCCGCTCACAGAGCAGAGATTCCTACGAATTTTGGTAAACCCTGTTGACGTTGTAAGTCCTTTATAATACTACACAGAAGTGACAGAATTCCTTTTAATTTGAATTGTGATAAATCTTGTCATCGCTACTACATTGAAAATTTAACAAACACGTTTACTGTATGAAATATTTTAAGAACCCCCCATTTTTTTTCAGTTTTGTTTTTGTTTCGCTAAAAGATTGTTAGGCCCTAACCGTGCGTCGTAATAATGATGCGTTTTGCCAGTTTATGATTTTGTCACATACACAAATCACAAATACACGACGTACATTTATGTAATATGAGTGTACTGTAGAAGTCATGAAAATGCCCTAATTTGCGATTTTTATGAAATATTTCTCAATATTGCCAAATTTTATGCTAATATTTTAACGACAAAATTGATGATCGTAATATATATTTAATAAAAATATTCAATATTTACAGAGATCTTGTAAACACGATTTGCCAAATAGCAAATTCTACTTCGTGAAAACTAAATCTAGTTCAAATTGGAGCCTTATTACTCATCCTCACATGATCCAATTTATTTTTGACTTACAGAAAGATGTCTTTGTTATTTTAAGTGGAATATATGAATATGCAAAATTTTGTACAAAAGTAAACAAACACCCACAGTTCACCAAAGCTGAACAATTCATTGATTCGTTAGGTAGAGGTTGATGCAAGCACTGTTATCTTATGTCAGTTTGGTTTGAATTGCCAGACAGCAAGCACATAAGTATCACAAAGTGTTTAACATTTTGTGGCTTTTAATAAATGGAATTAATAACTTGTTTAATTACACAAAGTCAAGGCAATTGAATTAATCAAACGTCTGTGGACAGCAAGCATTCATGAGCAAGAAATGGTCCCGACTGACATGTATATATAAGTGTTTCTGCTAAAATGAGGCTGGACTAATAATATGCTATCTGATAAGGCTCCTTTGTTTCGACCAGCCCAAATGTAATGGATTAGCCTTCTCAGGTGTCAAGGAACATGATAGTGATTCGTATGAGTGTCAGTTCGTTGAGTTATGCCCAGTCACTCTGAACACAGGAAAATTTTCTAGAGCTACAGAAAAAAAAATTGTTATTATAATAACATTATGTATATGCTCAGCTTATATGGCTTGTGCAGTTGTACATCTCCTGCGCTACAGGCTTGCTTGAGGCTAGACCATTAAAATGGAATTTAAATTTATATAGCTCAGAACATTTTGGTATAGGTGCTATAGAAATGTTTATTAAGTATTATTATTATTAATTCCCCATGATAACATACCTGTATCATTGCCTGCCAATGTTTTTGGTTTAACCATAAACCAGCATGCTTAAATTAACTGGTTCTCCATCACTCTGATTGAAATTGATTGAATGTAATTATATAGGGTTATGTAACATTGCACTAAAAAGTTTTCCAAATTATTGTGTGTTTTGCTGGCTTTCTACAGTATAGGTAAAGGTCTATATGTAGATCTGACTAAGTGTATTTATACTACAAATGAGTGGATGATTTTAACCTTATGTGATGGATTTTTTTCCAACATCTAAATATCACCCTGAAAAATATGGCCTTGTACAAATATATAACAAATCTGTCATGAGGTTTATTTTCTTGTGCTTTAATCATTCTAAATGGAAAGATTTTATACATGCTTTCATTTATTGATAAAATATTTAAATCATACCATCTTCTTAAAGCAGAAAAAGTTCAGTGGTGTTGTAATTTGTCACAACTGTCTTTTATATGGCATATTATATATTCTTTTATATTTAATATGTTTATATTTATTGATACTCACTGAGGATTTTTAAAGAATTACACATAATCTTTAGATTAATTTCCGTACTGGTACAGTTATAAATTTTCACATTGAAAGTTTGTAGTAATAATATAGTATTTCTGTGGTGCTGTAAATTACTCATTTACATTCTGGCAAAGAACCATGTTGTTATTGTAGTATGATGAAAGAATAATATGAAATGATTAATATAAAATGAAATATGAAACTAACATGAAATAGAAATCACTCTTTGCTAAGGAAATTTTATTAATGTAATTGAATCAATGTACTATTTTGGTGACGATTGAGATTCAAAACATAATGTACCCAAAATATTTTATATATACCCAAGATTTGTCGGAACTCAGAAGAAATATCTAACTTCCACTGAAATAAGTGCATGCGCATGCATGTATATAATAAATATATATGTTTTGATATTAGATGCAATGAAACAGGTTTCTTTTCCAATATAAAGTATGTTGCAATTTAAATTCCTTTTTGACATATAGTTTATACAGGTTTATGTATGTATACACGTTTATGTGTAACTGTAAGTAGAACATAGAAGTCAACTGAAATTTCAAAATTCCTCCCAGTTGTAACATTTATGGGGGGGGGGGTCAGTACTCAGTCCAGTCATGGGTTTTTATTCGCCAATTTTAACGTATACGTTTTTTTCCCATCCTGTTGGTATTTTCCCAAACCACCTGCTCAGATGTGACTAATAAACTACCGAATTTTTTTCTTCTAGTTGAAAAGCATTGGCCCAAAGCTCGTTCCATTCGCGAAGACGGCTTGTGTGTATTTCGTCGCAGGTCTGAGCAGTCCATCCATCTTACACGCGTCGTTGAAATGTCTTCCGATTATATGTCTTTGTTTCTTCATTGGGATGCAGGGAATCAGTCTTCGTTCAGAGCACCGCTACAATCGTCACGTACTGTTGGGCATGATGTTCTCGTGCTTGGGCGACGCTTTAATGGTCTGGAAGCCACGCCTGTTCATTCATGCCGTGGTGGCGTTTGGTATTGCGCAGATCATTTATGTCCGAGCCTTTGGAATGCGTCCATGGAGCATCAAGACTCTACTAGTGTGCTCAACGTATGGCTTGCTATGCTTCTGGATGTTTTACCCACAACTTAAGGGTATCATGGTGATTTGCGTCGCAATTTATATATTCCTTATCATGCTGATGTGTTGGCGCGCGGTCACCCGTCTGCAGATCGATAAGCTGTGGAAATGGAACAACATGTGCGCGTGCGGTGGCGCGATCTTATTTGCAATATCCGATACGTTGATTGCGGTTGATAAGTTCTATGCGCCAATAGTGTACAGAAAAGGTCTCATAATGACCACGTACTATTTGGCCCAACTTGGAATTGCAATGTCGACGTGTAAACATAACATTAACGACGTCGTTCTTAATTTGCATCCAGACGTCTGTAAGAAGAGCTGTCTGAAGGAGTATAAGAAGGACTGACTGTATCTGCTGCAGCGACGCCGAAACTTTTGTGTGCATATTAATTAAAGGTTTACGTTTTTTTACCTTTGTAAGAAGGGCTGTGTTACCTTTGTAAACGTCAGTTTATTTAATAATTCTGTAGTATATAAACAGTATAAATACTGTATTCACATCTAATGTCTAAGGTTAATGTGCACACGGTAACGTTTTCAAGCGTTTTCACAATCGTTTTCATGCCTCAACGGTTTCAAACATCGTCAATTTACCATAGAAGTTGAAGCTAATTTAACATGTAAAGCCCGTTTTTACTTGGATCATGTGGACAAGGCGTGTAAACATTAAAATTGACAAAAACGATTTTGAAAACGCTCGAAAACAACGCTCGTGTGCATTCAAATAGTCTTAACATGAGCTTAAAGGCTTAGCGTTTATTTAAGGTTAAATTTGTAGAAGACAACCTTTTTTCGAATAGGATGTGTATCGACAACTGGTTGAAATGTAGATTCTAAGAGTTTTTATCTTGACTGGGAAATAGCTATGTTTCTGTAAATCTGTGGATTTGATATTTACTTCACCAACCATATTATGGTGTTAAACTGCACGAAAGAAGATTTACACTAGGACTGTGATTGCTTAAAATATTATTCCGCGCTTCTCGTCGACTTTGGAAAAAGTCGTTGTACGAGTATCTATGATAACCATAGATATGATATTTAATGAATGGTGTAATTTAATGTACGTTAGACGAAAAGTTAGAAAATATAGATTTATTTATGCGTTTTTGTACATATTGTCGAGTATGCGGTATGCGTTTTTTCTTAAGGTGTGTTCACACGATCCAATTTTGTTGGATCCCTGTTGTGCAGCTAATAATTGAAAAAGCTTTATTATATCTCTATTATATAATCACGAAAGAAATACCTTTCCTAAGTGACGGTACTGATTCTGACCGGAGATTCAGTTACACCCGGGTATGGGAACGAACTGCGATATCAAAGTTGTCCATCATGTCATCAATGTTGAGTTACGCGCATGCGCTACATGCGAAAGGCATAAAACTAGTATTTTGTATTTGAATGAAATTCTAGATTATCAGCAATTATTTAACTCTCGTATTACCTCCTGCCTTAGCTCTTTGATTGCGGATATTTTATGAAAATATCAGAATAATTGCTTTCTTAACAGATTTCATGCTTTTACTCTTCGCTTGGATTTGCTGGTACATTACGTCTGTGCGCAGGCTATCACTAGAATGCCATTCGTCATTTATTCGCCATTTTAATGTCATCTTCATTGATAGATAGATTGTTTTTCTTTTGATAGATAGATTATTTAATGAGAAATGGTGAATTTTACACCATTATGAAAACCATATAAGTATAAAAATCACAGTAGGTTAAGAATGTTTAAATACAAGAGATAAATGCACTATATATGAGTTTTATAGATTACTACTTGCTGTAATAATAAAGAAATTTAAAAAACGTTCTGTCTTTACAAGTGGAACGTTCAGTTTCTTGCGATAGGCGCAAATCATTGTTTACTACAAATATTCGCCGGAATTAAATGATTGAGTTTATTATTAGAATTGGGTTTATTATTGATATTCACGTCCTTGGAGTAAATATTAATTTAACTGGGGCCGGTTGTATATCAAGCCCATTTAGCTTAAACGGTGGATAAGTCAAATTTAAATAACACTCTTACATCTCTCTTAAATGAGTCAACTTAAATATTATGCACTGAATATGTAGTTGTATATCTTTGAATTAAGGTTAAAAACATTTAGTTTGTTTCTTGAAGTTATACACACATTGACTATATCAAGGTAGTTGACCATTCCAATTTTGCTACACAGTGGCGTAGCTAGCCTTAGTATAATTATTCGTGTCTTTAGAAGTATACTGTCCGATATAAGCATGTCTGCGTGAATCATTATTTTCAACGAAGAAAACAATCAGTGATCCATTGGAACTTCGCGCAGATCTAAATCGTAGTGAGGAAAGATTTCTTTAACAAAGTTTTCATCTTTGGTACGTTCTAAGTCTTTGCATATCATATTGAACGGAACAGCAAATTCCATCAGGGAATATGTCTTCCCGTCCGCCAGGTTCTTCAGTGTGTGTCCTTTGGAGTGCATAGCGACAATATATCCATTCATATCAAATATAGGAGAACCACTCGCACCTGAAAAAAGGCTTGTGTCGTAAGAAAGACTTTCTTTGTACTCCTCGTAAAATTCCTTTGATTTCTGGTCGCTCATGGGTTCACCGGAAATCATTTTGTATCTTTCGTTTAGTGTCTCTGAAATCGAGTGATCGCTGACAACAACGCATGTTTCATGATGAAGTTGTTTTCCTTCTGGATGGCCGATAATAACAATTTGTCTTTCCTGCAGTGGGCGACCTCTTATCAGCGCACCAAGTTGATCGCGATTCTCAAGCCTCTTGTCCTCTTGCCTCTTTTTCATTCTTAATAATTTATAGTCAACCTCTTTGCTCTCAATTTGAGGATCTTGTGCTTCATCAACCTCTACGTCGACAAAATTTTCTGTTTGTCCCGGGTAATAATAATCAAATGAAATTATGATGGGCAGATTCTCATTTTGAGGCTGACATCTTTCACGTTTTATATTGTCATAGACGTGATAGTTAGTTATCACTAATTCATCGGTGACAAGGAAGCAAGTTCCAACCACCTTTCCACATGCAATTCGACCAATTGATTTTATGTAATGTCCAAATTTTTCCAGCAGTATTGCTGGTATTTTAGTTGATTTGTTTTTTTGTAGGTGGCTGCTGGTAAGGTTTAATATTGAACCGTCTTCGTGTACAAAATTTTGGCATTCCTTTTCCCGCAAGTTTTTGCGAAAAGCTCCTTTCAATGTGGCTGACTGGCTAACCATACCCGTGGTGCATTTTTCCAAACGAACCAAATTTTCACTACCTGACAATTCTTTCTCTTTAGCTTGTTGCTGCACTGTCAAACACTCTATTGGAATGAAAACATTTCAATCACATTTTATTTCAAATGTTGTTCAACTATACAATTTTGAAATCAGTTTTAGCGCATAATATTATACCGAAAATAGGAAGCGTGTACTTAAGAGACTCCTGTTAGGCAATTTTTTTGTAGATACAAGCGTATACTAGCTGCCAAGAAATAACTTATCAAAATCCGCGTCCAAGACGCGGGTAATTTGCGTCTACAAACGCCTGCGGTCGCGTCCAATCCGCGGGCATTTTGCGTCCACTTTGCGTCTGCGGGCACTTGCGGTTGCGCTCGTCTGACGACTAGTTTCATTAAAATATGTGAAGTCTCAGAGAAAGATATAATCGATCAAGATCTTCGCCGGAATTGGCCCACTTACGGAAATGTTCTTGGTATTACAAGAACACCAGATTAAATTAAGCTCACCTGATATCTGAGGTATTTGTTCAAGTTGTACCTCATCTCTACTAGAAATGTCTGAACCAATTGCTCTCATCTTTCCATCTCCCTCTTCGTTTGAGAATTTTTCAGCATCTCCCAAACCAAGCAAAGCTTCGGTTTCCTGTCGTTCATCCCCTTGCTTTCTGGCAAATTCCATTGCGATCTCGTACTCCTTAATTGCCAGTTGAAGTCGATTCTCCGACTTATAAATATGTCCTAACCATAGGTGTGCGTCTGTCATTTGCCGCATATCTCCACGTTTCTTCGCCATTTCCAAGGCTCTATGATAATTCTCTCTTGCTTGTTGCATTTTATCGTTTAATCGGTAACTATCTGCCAAGCCAAAATAAGCTTCAGTTTCCTGCCTTCTATCTTTTCGTTCGATCGATAATTCTAAGGCTTCTCTGTAGTAATTAACTGCTAATTGTACGTTCTGTTTCATTTTATGAGCATGTCCCAATCCAAAGTAGACTTCTGTTTGTTGTCTCGTATCATAACGTGCCTTTGCAATTTTTAGGGCCTCCTCATAGCTATCAATTGCTGGTTGAATTTCATTATTCAACCTATATACATTACCTAGCCAAATGTAAGCCTCGGTCTCATGTAAACTATCTTCTTGCTCCTTTGCAGTGTTCAAGGCTTCCGTAAAATTCGCAACTGCTTTTTCAATCTGATTGCTCAACTGAAAAGCATCTCCCAAACCAATATAGACTTTCGCTTTTAGCTGTGTGTCTTCTTTAGCCTTTGTTACCTCTAAGATTTTTTGATAGTATTCAATCGAGGTCTGGTATTGGTTATTCAGTTTATAAGAAACTGCTAGCCCAAGGTAGGCCTTAATCATTTGCTCTTCATCTTTTCGTTTGTTTGCAATTTGCAATGTTTTGTCGTAGTAATTGATTGCTGTTGGAAAATCCTTTGCATATTCAGTATAAGCATATCCTAATCCAAGACATGCCTCTCCAACCTGACGGTCATCTCTGCGTTTTTTCGCTAGTTCAAATGCCTTTTGATAGTACTCCATTGACATGGACCTGTGGAGTTAGATATAAAAATATTTATGATCTGAAATTGTTATCATATCTGAATAATAAAATGTGAAATTCGTGTTTTTGACAAGGGCACAAAAAATAGCTTCAACAAGAATTGCAACAAATGATTCTAACTCCCACGTTGCAGTGTTATTTTGGATTGTTGGGATTAAGGGCCTCCACAGACTAAAGATTTAGTTGTCGACGACTATTTGTGATCGACAACTAAAAGTTATCGACAACTAAATAAGTCCGATAAAGGATTCCACACACTGGCGCTCAAATACTGATTTAGCAACCGAAATAGGCTCAAATAGCGCGGAGATTAAAAGTAGTCGACAACTAAAACAAAGGTTTTCACACACTAGAAAAACGCCAGAAAATGAGGCCGTCGACAACTATTAGTTGTCCACAACTACGCAGTTCCCCTTTTCGAAAAGGGAAACTGCTTAGTTGTCGGAAACTTTAATTTAGAGTAACACAGTCTGCGGAATGAACTCAATAAAGTTAACACAAAACGTTTCTTTCGCAAAATTTCCAAGCTAATGCAAGAATTGCATACAAATCAAAACAATAACGCACTGAAAGTTCTAACACACAGGCGGCCCAAACCTCGATTAATTCAAAAAGATTTTACAAAAACGTCGCGTAGAATGACAGCAATTTTCAAAAAGAAGTGCATATCTCCAAAACTGCAGGGTGTCCCCAAAACAACGGAATCCGCTTTAATAGTTATGTATTCGTTGAAACTATTATTTACTGGAATCAGATTGGATGTTGATACTTTTTAATAAACCTGACATTTCCGGGGCTCTGAGATTTCATATATTTTGTACTGTAACAGTGTTAGTGAACGCAAAACAAACCAAACCTATAAGAACCAGTCATTTTCTAATAACTACATTATGTATGCCGGTTTGGTGTTTTGGGGCCCACCCTGTATATATCTGAATTAAGGCGGTCCACAGAAAAAAACCCCGATTTATAAGGGATAGAAACTTAAAGGTTTCCCCAATCTATCCTGATTATTTTTCTCTAAGAAATATAGAAAGGATTAAAAAGACGCATAAAGAAAGAAAAGTTTTATTGATCACGAGAAAACAAAAGTATTTGATTGGCTTATTCGATTCTATTGTTTAATGTTCTAGTTGTTATCTAAAATTTTTGAATATAAATGCAAAATTTTTTTGTCGCTTTTCATTCTCATTCCCTTTACTTGCGTACAAGTTTCGGAATTAAGTGGAAAAAGCTAAGGATTTATGGCTGACTTTAGGAATTTGGTTTGGAGTTGAACCTAAAGAAGCGTATTCCG